AGCAGTTTATTATTACTGATAATTAGATCAATATGAATAACATGTAAAATAAAAAATAATAACGCATGACTCTGTATAAGAACAATCAATTCATAATCGATGAATATATTTACGTTCGATATAAACATTCTGATCTTAAAGTATTTATATCATTTGTAAATTTGAATATTTTGCCAGCCGACTTCTCCTTCTTCATTAAAATATCTGCAGAATTCTTCGCGAATTTTAGCTGCATATACAGAATGCGACCTTGCTCGAGTGCACGAAATGTTCATAAATGAATAGTCTGTAATATTTTCTCTCCAAGAACCTTCTTGAATATTTCCATCTGGTAGAGGTTGATCTGCAAGATCTTGTACAACATAATTTTCTCGTTCAACATCATGTTTTCTTAACCAGTTATGAAGGCAGACAATTGCTTGAACCATTTTCGTTGCGTTTGTAACTTGTGCAATAATTGGTCGTCTCAAAAGTCGCCATTGATTAGCCAAAATGCCAAAAACATTTTCGACGGTTCGTCGAGCTCGAGATAAGCGATAGTTATAAATACGTTTGTCTACTATCAGTTCATTTTTGCCTGGATATGGTCGCATCATATAAGCTGTTAATGGAAATGCCTCGTCTCCTACCAATACAAATGGTAAAATTGGACCATCTTCATACAATGGTTCAGGTGGTGGGAGATGGAATTGATTTCTTTCCAATAACAGGCCTACAGAACTATTTTTGAAAACATGCGCATCTCCTTGCCTTCCAGGAACACCAATGTCAACATAGCGTATAATGTAATTAGCATCACTCACTGCTAGTAAAATAATACTATGACTGCCTTTATAATTGTAGTACTCTGATCCTGCGTTATCAGGGCACTGAAAAAATATTCATTAAATTAGATTACATTAAATTAAGTAAATTTATAATATTATATACGTAAAGGGAGTTTAATAAAAAGCTTACTATGTTTTTCTGATTTGATTGAAAACGAAAGAAGATAAGAGAAAAAACATCTATTATTAAAATTGAAAAATAAGTAAAAAGATATGATAGACACAGATTTTTCAAGATGCTGGTGTCCTTTAGATTTCAAAGTTATCTTTGTTTTTTAAATAAAATTACATGATTTTTTTTATATAATATAATTCTTCTAATATTCTATATTATTCAATAATTTTATTCTGCATATATAAGTCATAAAAAATCAACAATTTGAGAAATTTTGTACTTTATTTCTATTCTTTTCTCTATTCTCTTCATTTTTTTAACATAAAGAATAAGATATGTCGTAAACTATTTATTTTTTAACAACTGTACTTTAATACTTTTATGCACAGAAAAATGAGATAATTAAATTAATATAAAGAAAACATAATTGCTTAGAACACCCTCACCTAGAAAAAATGTGTATCCATTACATCTTTTTACTTAATCCACAGTTTTGATAATAGATATCTTTCCCCCAATCTTTGATTATTTTCAATAAAAACATGATACACTTTTTATTTAAATCCTGTTTTTCTTTTCAAGATTATAAGATTTTAAACCTGAATAACAACGTGTTTGCCATCAATTGCACCAACACAGTGAGGAAAATGCCATTTATTTGCAAAATCATTTGCAATTTCTTTCCAATCTTCTGCATCACATTTTGCGAGTACGATGGGAAATAAATGGTTCCATATAGCAGAACATGTTTCACGTATAATATGTGCAATGCAACTTAAAGATATTAAATATTGATATGACAAAGATGTCATACTGTCTCCTGAAGCAAGGTATCTAGCAAAATATTATAAGAATTATTATATAACATTCATCTTAATATAAAAATTATCGTATATTATTATTAAATATGTATATATACCTTAAAGTCAATATTAACCGTTGTTCCTCATTTATTGGTTCACGCACAACATATTGTTTTTTTAAATCAATTCCAACTATTGATAATAATTCTTCAAATTGAGTCATGGTCAGTCTTGTATAATTTTGAAATCTTAAATCTTCCAATCTCAAAGTAGGAAGAATAGCGTGGTAGAAACCATGTGTATTTCTTTTTTTATATATTTCTGACATCCAAAATCTCTTTCTCTTTTTCCTTTGTAATTCTATTATATTTTTTATTATTGCGACACTTACATTAATTTAACTTTTTTTTGTTTTAGAATTTCTTGATTAATAATTGTAATGCAATTCAATAACCATTGATTATGAGAATAATTAATTGACATTTCTAAAAATGTTTACACCGGGAAGTTTATAGCCA